GGGGGGGGGGGGGGACAGAAGCAGAGGCGGCATTTGATGGTTTTTGAACGGGGGAGCGGACGGGCCCCCGGTCGCTCTGCTGATAGATAGTGGACGAGCCTGAGATAAGGGAGTGTGGGGTGGGGTGATGAATGGTCGACGTCTCCCGATTCAACGCGGTGACAAACTGAGACAATCGCCGCGGTTAATTTGTCACCGTGGGGGGTGGGAGGGGGCGTCGCTTTGATCAAAACGAACGCCCCCCTCTGCCCTCTGATGCTATACAACGAAAGAAACGAGCACTTTAATGCAAAACAATGCATTTGTCTCTCCGTCTGATCCCTCCCACTCTCGCGGATATATCTCTGACTTCTAATCACTCTCGTGATCGTGGCCTTAATCTCGCAGAGAGAACTTTGCTTGTAATGAAGCTTTGGATGACGGTGCAGTGCTGATTCATCACCAAGAGGGGGCACAGTAATCCCTGCTTCAGATCAGTGACGCTAAACTGGGCCTGAGAAATGCATCCACCTTGATTGGGGGTATTGAGATATAAACCCGGGACCAGGATTATTAAAGTTATTGCAGATTACGTTTTTACTTTTTTGGGGTGTCTAGAATTAAATAATCCAAACAGCTGTAATTCACTTGTGTTATGATACAATCAAGCTTTATTTTAAGAGCGATGTGGGGCAATAAAGTTTCCCCAATAAAAATATTTGGAGTACATCTGACAAAAAGTACGAGAGAACCCTGCTCAGCTTTTATGTCCGCTCACAATATAGAACTCAAAATACACATCGTAGTTTCTCTGATTAACAAACTTGAAGCAATTTGAAGCAAATAAAATGTATTATTAATTACACAGTCAGAACAAGGTTTACTGGCTGTAATTACACAATAAGAATAATGTGTGTTGGGTGTAATTACACAGTAAAAACAAGGTGTGCTTTCTATAATTACACATTAAGATCAAAGTGTGCTGGCTGTAATTACACAATTTAATAAAAAGATGTGCAGGCTGTTATTACACAGTAAGAACAAGGTGTGCAGGTTATAATTACACAGTAAGAACAAGGCACTTATTTGAAGTGTTGACCATTTTCCCCAAACTTCTGTTTTGTTTCCTTGAGTATTGAGAACATTATTTTTAACATTTTCTTTATTTAGTGCCAGTAGGAACCAGTAAGTATTTTATTGGTACCTGATCCATACAACAAATGGTCGCTGTAAGTAATGAGCGGTATTATTAAGTGCTACATTTCACAGTCTCATATGTGAGCCTCTTGATGGAGCCGCAGCAGCAGCAGTCCTAAAAATACTAGTTTTTTTGTTTTTTTGATTCTCGCCTTTCTTTTTTTGTCTGTCATCATTAATAATTCATCTCTTTTCTTGGATGCTAAAACAACAACAAACAGAACAACAGCTCAGATAATGTATTCAGTCAAAAGCTCATTGTCTAGGGGAGGAGGAGAGGGGACAGCGAAAATGTGCACTGGAGTGAGACAAGAGAGCACCCCGACAGGGAGAGGCTCAATGTCACTCCGCAGCATGGCGGGAAGGAAGAAAAACAAACGCCAGAGGGAAAAAAAAAAAAGAGAGACAGAGGAAGATACAGTTTGTAAGTCATAAAAGCCCAATTAGAGGCATTAGGGTCCTCAAATGGAGGATTACAATGAATAATTCGTGACTGCAATTTTTTTCTCTCTGACTGATTGTGCCATTAATGCGGGTGACAAAAAAAAGGTAATATTTTTGAGACGGGCTCGTAGAAAAAGCTCTCAATGCAGAAAAAAACGAAACAGTAATTCAAGGTTACATGAATACGGTGCCAAATCGGCACCCCGGCCGTCCATTGACTCAGCTGCCTTACTTTAAATCTCTCCACTCCCCCTGTCACCCCTTCATTTGGAGTAGCTCGACCTTGGATGTCTATGGTGTGAACCAGTGCCCCAGCTTTCACATTACGCCAGAAAGGATCCTGACTCATTCAATTTAAGCCCATCAAGAAAGCACAATACGAGGCAAATTAGCTGCCATTATTTAGACACTTTCATGCCCCCAATTTAAGGTTATATCACAATTAGTCCCATTTGTCTCCTCTGTAACATACATCGGCCTCATCAAGAGCATTTTGATATTTATTTCTTTAGTTCCCAGATTAGAGGAAGTAGCCAATTTAACACTTATTGTGGCACATAAAATCCAGTGGTTCATTTTCAGGCTTTTCTTTATTGAAAAAGAACACAATGAACAATTGACTCATTATCTTCCTGGCAGCTCTGAGCATATCCTTTTCTATTTCAACTGCCGCAACATTCATTGGGGGTGGGATGGACTGTGCCTAAAGTTAGACAAAGTTAAAATTAAAAGAGCTCTCCGCTATTTCATAATTGCACTCCGGTGACATTGTTAGACTCATGATAGACGGTATGAAAAAGAATATCGATGCTGAGCTCTTTTTTTATTCCACACTTTCTTCTTCCTTCCTTTCTTCCTTCCTGGTGCCTGCATGACTCACGATGCAACTTGACCATCGAGCGTTTAGCCGGGTGC